ACCCCACTCGAACTTTCTTACCTTTCTGCCTTCTCCATCATGCTCTCAAGGGAATACTGGCCGAACTCTAAAAATTTTTGGACATACTCTGACACAATCATATCACCCTAAACTAGGTGTGCAAACTCCATTTCCTTCAGATGTCAGAGATACTCTAGGAGGTACTCTGCATTGAAGGTCATCATGAACTGTTCCCAAATGACTGGAATGGGTAGGGTGGCCTGCTTGAGCTGCCATCAGCGACCTGTCTCTCCCACCAGCATGTAAGTGGTTAATCTCCACTAGCTCTTGATAGAATTTGGGGGGACACCTGCTCACAGCCCTTTTGCTGATCAGGATCTGGATTTTAGTCTTCTTGATATGAAATGGTTAATAGGGGAGGAGGTGAGCTATACTAGCCCAATAAGAATCTCACACTACTCACCGATACAGGAACCGAATATTGGTAAAAATTATAAAAATAACCAATGGAGCTCTTAATATAAGTAAATTCATTTATCATAAGAAAAATTATTTATTACATACTTACAGTTGCGAGATTTCCAAAATCGACCTATAAAGACAATAACTCAAATAACATTATGACTTCGTATTCAAGTGAGTAAGAACAACAACTTTTTCTTTTTTATTTTGCTTACTGGTATCCTTGAGGGTCCATAGGAGTGTCCAACTACACGTGAACCTAATATCTAAACTTGTCAACTAACCGACCGTTTCCATACTCCGTCTGGTATGAGCGCTAAAAATACTATTCATCGATAGCCTATCCAATATGATGGTGAATTGGGTCGTCTCCATACTCCGTTCAGTATGAGCGTCAAAAATATCATCCCTCGATACCCCGTCTGGTATGAGGTAACGTTCACGGTAGAGTTTCCTATGTACCCAGTCCGTCCACCATCTCCCAATATATCCAGTAAGACAATCATTCATTAATTCACGTAACTAAACAATTTTTTATTTGTATATTAATTTTAAATTTCACAAATCAATCGTAAATCACGCAAGACAAGCAGTATATGCATTAAGAAAGCACAACTGAATCATTTAAATATTTCAATATATTATAATGTATTAAAACTATAAAATTAAATATTCAGTTAAATAAGACAAATAATTAATTAATTAGTTCCAGTTCTATTAATGACCTGTAATTTTTTTTAAAGTTTTAAAATTTCACAAAATATCATATTATTAGTTATTAACTTTCAATTCCATAACAAGGAATAAGGTGAAGGACTTTTACTCGAATCGGTGTTCGAAACACCAAGTTTTCTACTACACTTACTGGCGGTCCTCAGGTTTTCTGAATTTTCTTGTGGAGATTAAAACACGCTTCACGTACCTAAAAATACTCCAAAAATCTAAAATCGGTGTTAAAAATCTTTTATGACCAATTTTAAGGTTTTGGTACGGCGACACCACCGTGCTCCAGCAACGGCACCACCGCCCGCGGTGATAGTTTACTTCGGCCTGGCTGTTTTCAGCCAGTTTCGGCTGACTTTATACATATCCCTGAAAAAAAATACGTTAAGGAGCATCAGTTGGCCGAAAAAAATTAGAAAATAAAAACTTACCGGTGGTGGAGTTTTCCGGGTGCAACAGCTCCGCCAACTCACCTTCGCAGCTGAAATTTTTTCTTCAGTTAACCTATAAAAAATATAACGATAAACATAACGATGGAAAAATCGCACGAAACGAGAAACGGGAAGTGTAACAGCCCCGGTAATTCAAAATGGAAATTATATTATAAATATTAAATGCGGAAGCGAAGACAAAATTTGATTAACATCCCTTACACTAAAACCAAAAATGTGCTCACAAAATATAAAAGATTAAACTACCCAAAGGGGAAACTTGAAAGTAAAAACTACGAATGTGACTATAGAGTCCTCAGGCGTCCCCTTCGTCGTCCTCCTGCGGAACCGGCTCGGGAACGATGTCCTCTTGATCTGAAATGATTAAATAAGGAATGAGCTACACTAGCCCAGTAAAGACATCACGATATCTCACCGTCACGGAGGTAAAGGTGGGTAGAAAACACAAAAAGACCAATGGAGCATAATTTACAACAAATCCTTTTATCGGAAATAAAACCTTTACCATTTACTTACCTCGGTGAAATTCATAAAAACAATATACGAAAGCAATAACATCATCATCATCATGAAAACATATATATGAACTGTATAACATAATACCTATCACACTCTTCGTAATTCAATCGTTACACAACATATTTTCCTAATTCACCAGCCCACTAGTATCCATGGGGATCCATAGGGGTCCCGCTACCCGTTAATCCTTAACACTCGAAATCATATTCCAGGGCTGTCCCCATACCTCGTCTGGTATGGGCGCCAAAACATAGACCTCATTACCCCGTCCGGTATGAGGGTGAAACGGGCCGTCCCCATACCCCGTCCGGTATGGGCGCCAAAACACATAAGATCTCCATACCCCGTCCGGTATGGGAGACCACAATCCCGGTAGGGTTCCCTACGGACCCGGTCCGTCTACCCTCTCCCAGGATATCTAGTAAGGCTGAACACATTATACAATTTCCATTCACATAATCTTTCATTCTCCTTTTCCCTCAGTCAGCATTATCAATCCACATACAAACAAGCAAAACGGTAATTTATGCCAAACAGACAACATATAGCATCAATATCCCAGTCATTCAATCCATAATCAGTAAAACAGTAAAATATGCACACGAAACTATAAAATGAAAAACATCAAACCTCATACTGCATTTAAAACTGTAAAACAGGCCAAATAACAGTTAACCGACAAACACACTAGACTCGGGCTCCATTAGCGACCTTAAGCAATTTCACACATTCGTTGATTCACGAAATACCGTTTTATCATTTATTGGACTTTAAAACTGTGATAGGAAATAGGGTGAGGGGTCCTTACTCGTTTCGGGGTCCGAACACGGCTTCACAGTGCGCTTGCAGGCTGTCCCTAATTTTCTCTGAATTTTCCTCGGGGAACTGAAACGCACTGTTGGTACCTGCACGTGTTCCAAAAAAAAAACCCAAATTAGGCCAAGGGCCTCTTTCGGCCCAAATCGCAACTCTGGCACGGCGGCTCCGCCGTGCTCCGGCGACGGCGCCGCCGCTGGCGGCGGCGATTCGCCTCGGGTTGGCTGTTTTCGTGATTTTCTGGCCGAATTCGGCCACACTCGCATCGGTCCCTGCGAGAAAACAACCCTAGGGCCCTCGGGGGGCCAAAAAATCACGGAAAAACGGAGCTTACCGGCGGCGGCGCTCTCGGGTGCGACGGCTCTCCGGCGAGGTTTGTGTTTTGGTGATTCGGCTCCGGTCAATCTGTAGAGAAAAGAATGGTGATCACGGTGATATAAAAATTGCATCAAACGGAGGCCGGGAAGGGCCTCATTGGAGGCAAAAACCGAAGGGCGCGGCGGCGCCGCTGGGCTTCGGCCGTG